GTTGAGATTCTCCGAGGGAGCTGCCTCCTCCCAAGGGTCGCCCCTGCCTACCTGCCTCGGTTTCTATGCTCCTAGGAGCAGAAAGAGCAGCAGGCTCAGGGTCCTGCTGTGCTGTTGTCTGAGTCTTTGCTCATCCTCCAGGCTAGGCTGACTTTCTGGGAGTCTCTGTGCATACCATGCTTGTGTCCAAAGAACTGTGACAGGTCTGGGGTTTTCTTTGGTGCCTTTTTGGCATTTACTGCGGGAGTCTGTGGTCTTGCTGTACCTCTATTGTGAGGTCCCTGCAGGGAGTACAGTCTCATCCCCAGTGTAGATCTCTTCTGAACCTGAGATTCTCTCAGTATTCTGAACCCTTACACCAAGACATGAAATATAGTATGGTTGTCCTCCATACCACATCAAGGTCACAGTGAACTGGGGTGCAAACATAGGACCATCTGCCTCCTTCTTGGCTATTAAGAACTACCTCTTGAATGGCACCATGTTGCCACAGTACCTTGCTGAGTGTGGAGTGCAATTGAAAGACTAGCCCAGAAGTTCTGGATTCTTCCTCAATTCATACAGGGTTCCTGATGTTCATGTCCCTCTTCCCCATCCTGGCCTAAGGAATGGAGCGGCTGATGGGTTCCTTCTCAGGGACCCAAGCACCCAAGTGAGTGAGTCCACTCTCAGGCCCTCTAGCCTTCCCCCTCTCCTGGGCTCTTCCAACCAGAAGATGACTTTACTTCCTCCTTTGATAGGTGGCAGCTGCCCTCCTACTCCCGGTTTGCTCTACCTACTGATCATAGTGAAGCTTGATGTCCAGGCTGCATACCTGACTCTTGATATTTAAGAGATTTGGGAACTTAGAGCTCTCTTTTCATTCCCAACAAACCTTTCAAGTCTGCTATTAATAATGGGCTTCAAAAGTTGAACTAGTCATTATTTACCTTCACATTTCTGTCACAATCACGATGCTCTCTGGAGAAAAAGGATGCCTCTGGTTGAAAAGGGAAAGGTCATATGGGAAAAAAAATAAGAAAAAAAATCATAATAACATTTTTCAAAACAGATGATCTACCTCATGCCAACTTTTCATCTGGTTAAAGATTAAGTTCTTGGTACTGAAGGTAGACCAAAAACGGGGTTTTAAAATTCATTTCCCCTCTAACTAATTCCTTATAAGACATTTATCACATATAAATAAAACAAAAGGAAACCTTATCTGTCCTTCTGCTGGCCCCTGGGATTAGGAAGAGCCCAAGGGAGAGGAAGGATTATAATTATTACTGCTTCATGCAGGGGAGGGCACAGAAGATGGCAGAGGGAGTGTTTCCAGTGTCTCATTGCTCCGCTGGTCCCCAGAGAGTTCTAGATCCTCTCTTCTCATCCAGGGAGGGACAGCAACTCGGTCAGTGAGTTCCAGCAGGGGTCAGCAATGGATTGGACTGGAATGCACGGAGCAGCCCAGAGGTGTGAGAGAGGCTTTCCTTCTGGGGCTGTTGGATAGCCAGGGCTTTGATCTTTGAGAACCAGGCTTTCCTGAGCTAGGGCATATGACTTCACCACCATTTACTGAGCCCTTGCAATGTGTCAGGTACTGTCATTAATACTTTGGGATAGATGAGTGGATAAAACAGAGGTCCCTGCCCTTGTGACTTTATATTCCCACAGAAAGGACATGAACAAGAAATAACTGATATGTTAGGTGGTAGAAGATAAGAAAGCAGAGTAGTGGGTTCAAGACTGGGTAGAAGTAGGGTTAGATTGAGGTAAGAGGTGGGGTGATTTGCTTGGGCTTCATTGGTCACCTAAGATACCAGCAAAGACTTGAAGGAGGTTAGGAAGTCAGCCAGCAGAGACCTATGGGAAAGGTGTTCTAAGCAGAAGGCACTGCTAAAGAAACAATGCTGTGTTAGTCAACTTTACATCACTGTGACCTGACACAAACCACTCAGAGGAAGGAAGGTCTGTTTGGCTCATGGTTTAGGGGTTTCAGTCCATGGGCAGCTGGCTCCTTAGCAGTGGGCCTGAGGTGAGACAGAACATCATGGTGGAAGAGCATGGCAGAGGGAAGCTGCTCCATTCATGGCAGCCATGAAGCAGAGAGAGAGGGAGGGAGGATGGGGCCAGGAACAAGATATGGTCCCCAAGTACTCACCGGATGTGACCTACTTCCACCAACCATGCCCTACCTGCTTACAGTTTCCATCTCTTCCCAGTATTCCATCCAAGTTCTTAATCCATCCAATGGATTAATCCACTGATGAAGTTAGAGCTCTCATAATCCAATAATTTCCCCAAAACCCCACCTCTGCACATTGCTGGATTGAGGACCAAATCTTCAACACATGAGCTCTGGGGGTACATTCCAGATACAAACCATACATGATAAGGTCAAGAAAAAAAACATGGGGACAAATATGGTTGGAGCAGACTTATGGTCAGAAGGAAGAGGGGATATCAGATGATATGGATCTTCGATGCCACTGTGGTGGCTTTGGATTTTTATTTGAATAAAATGGAGATCCATTGAGGACTTTGAGCCCAAGATAGTGTTCTGTATGTTTCAAAGAATCATTCTGACTGCTGTTTGAGGCGTTAAGCAGAGAGAACTGCTGGGGCAAATCATTAATGTAGGTAAGAAACGATGGTGGTGGGATGGAGCCTTGGACCAGAGTGATGGTAGAGGGGATGGTGAGAAGTGGTCAGATGTTGATAAATTTCAAAAAGGAGAGTCAAGGTGACTCAAAAGACTTTGATCTGAGTAGATGGGTGGGTGGAGTGCGTAATTGAGAAGAAGGCTGGAAATGGGGCAGATTTGTAGAAGAAAAACGCTGCTTGGCACTCACATGCTCTAGTTCATTACTCATTAGTTTCATTTTTGGACATGTTGAGTTTGAGATGTGTATTAGATAGCCCAGTAGAAATTTTGAATAAATCATGAAATAAATAGTTCTAGGATCTTGGGAGAGAAGTCTGGACTAGAGAGGAAAGTTAACAACTTATAGATGTTATTTATCTTAATTATTTTTAGTTGTCGATGGACACAATATTTTTATTTTATTTATTTTTATGTGGTGCTGAGGATCGAACCCAGTGCCTCATATGTGTGAGGCAAGTGCTGTGCCACTGAGCTACAACCCCAGCCCCTATAAATGTTATTTAAAGCTATAAATCTGACACATATCAACAAGACTGAATACAGAGGGCCAAGGGGAGAAAGACTAAGACTGATCCCTAGAGCCCTCAAACAGGAAGCACTGTGAGATGCCAGGAGGAGTCCGCAAAGGAGACTGAGAAGGTGCGACCAGGTATCAAGACAGGAAGAAAGTCAAGAGCATAGTTTCCCAGAAGCCTTGTAAAGAAATCCAAAAATCTAAAAGGCACCAGCCTGCTTTGTGGGATGCTCATGTGGGCTAAGGCTGGGGAGCTGCGCTTGGCTCTAGCCACCAGGCACTCACTGGCACCTTAATAAGGGCAAATGGGGTAGCCTAGTCGAAGCAAATGCCTGAGAGCAGGGGATTTTAAAAAGAATGAGAGGAAAGAGACTGGAGATCATGGGAATAAGACACTAATTTTTGAGACATTTTCTGTAAAGAAATGGAGTAGAAATTGGCAGGGAAAAAAACAGGGTCAAGAGAAATGGCTGCTATTTTTTTTTTTTTTTTTTTTTTTTAAAGAAGGGAAAGAAAACAGCGTGTTTCGAGGGAGGAAAATGGTGTTAATGCAAGACGAGAGACGGAGGAGAACTGCAGAAGCAGTGTCCTTGAAGAGGCAAACCATGAGATCTAGGGCCCTGTGGAGGGGCTGATTTTGGCTAGGAGCATGGATAGTTCACTGCAAAGCCACTGGAAGGGCTTAATACGTGGGGATAGACCCTGGTAGGTGGGGAGAAGCCATGTGAGAGAGTCTGAGGAAGCTCTTCCTTAATTGCTTAGAATTTATCAGTAAAATACAAAATAAGGTTATCAAATGAGCTTGAGAATGGAGCATGGGCTATTAGGATCTGAAGAGAGGAAAAGGTGTGAAACAGTCCTCTAGGATTTAAAGAGAGGAAAAGGTGTGAAATAGTCCTTTAGGATCTGAAGAGAGGAAAAGGTGTGAAACAGTCCTTTAGGAGCCCGGGAGAGTAATGAACTAGAGCATGTGAGTGCCAAGCAGCCTTAAGAACTCACTCAAAGGTGTAACTAAAAAGAATGAATAAAAAATTGTAAAAAATAAAAAGAATTCACTCAAGGGCTGGGAATAGGAGAGGGGTTTGCAGCTCAGTGGTAGAGTGCTTGCCTGGCGTGTGTGAGGCCCTGGGTTCAATCCCCGGCACCTTAAAAAAAATAATTCACTTGAAGTTAGTGATCATGAACTTAAAATGACAGTAGTCTGTATGTGCATGTGAGTGTGCGCACAGTGTGCACACCCACACATATCAGCCTTATTTGGCCTCTGGATTTGGAAACAGATGGGACAGAGAACCTGAATTAAGAAATATTTTAGTTTTACCAAATAGAAATGAAAGGAGGCGAGGGGATCAAAGGTGTGTGAATGAAAGTGCTTATAAGGTGGACCACGAAATTCCAACTGGATGAGGAGGGAAGTGAGATATAAAGGACAGGAAAGAAGAGTGGAAAAGAAACTATTGGCACAAATGGAATGGTGTGTGTTTTATGGGAGATGGTTTATTGCTTTAAATAATGATATGACCCTAAATGTTCTTTCTTTGTGTCTTTGATACACTCCTCGTCTTCTACATTACCTGATGTGACTTTGATAAACACACACACACACACACACACACACACACACGCGCGCGCGCACACACACATGCACACGCACACATACACACACACATGTCCTTATCTTGAGAGAATATGTAGTAGATAGTTTGATTGCAGGATGCAAAGGTTTATCAGGGTTAGGGAGTAAATTAGAAAGTTAAAAGAAGGTGATAAAAGAGTAAAACATGAAATTGAAATTGTGGAGAGGTTACAGCTGTAAGTAATGATGAGATCTAAGTTACGGCCATGGAAGTGAGTAGTGGAGTGTGCAAAGAAGATTATTGGAAAAGGGAGGGTCAAGAGCTGAGAGGACGAGGTTGATTACACATATATGGCATTCATGAAGGTTAAGAAAAGGGTTGTAATGGCCAAGAGGTAAAATCATTAAGAAATATGAGGGAATAACCCACTGACATTCTTAAAGTAAATCACTTAATTAAATTTAGTATTTGAAACACACAATTCAACAAAACAAAACATTGCTGAGTAATATTTACTTAAAGGGTACAGGTCCAGCAAGGAGAGATTTCCCCAGGGACCCTGTCAGTATTTTCCACTACTTAAGGATTTCTTTCTCAGAGAGCCGTGCCTCTGAGCTGAGATTCCTGCTTTATGCCAGCAATGTCAAGAAGAGAGACATTTTCTTTTTCAACAGTACACTTCTTAGTTCTGTTTTTCCTTCCAATAACATGTAATGATTCATACATTGTAAGTATTATTCCTATAATTACCACCATATATTATATTTATTTGCAAAAAAAATCACATCAGGTAATACAGAAAACATGGATTGTGCCCAAACCAAAAGGTAGCTTTGTACTGTTTCTTCAAGCAATAAATTGACTCCTGCTAACACAACAAACCTTTCCATTTGCTCCAGTGATTTATTTATGCCTTCATTTTATTATGCCTTCATTTTTWAGGGAGATTTGGTTTTTTTTTTCCTCTATTAAGGCCTGTTCTGCATTACACTGGCCCTTAGTTACTTGAACATTAGTCTAAAATGTATGATGGGACATCAATCAGATAGGACCAAGAGTTTGGAGGCGTTTAGACTTCCAAATTATTTGCTATAGCTTTCTCCCTAATTTCTTGTATTTCTTTTCCCATTACCATTTCTTTTCTTTTTTTTTTTTTTTTGTACCCACTAAGTCACATCCCCAGCCATTTTTTGTATTTCACTTAGAGACAGAGTCTCACTATTCCTGAGACTGGCTTTCAACTTGCAACCCTCTTGCCTTAGCCTCGTGGGCCACTGGGATTAAGGCTGTGCCACCATGCCTGGCCCCCATTATCATTTTTAAAACTGATGGGGCATTTTGATCTCCTTTATGACTGGAGTGACTGAGACAAACTGGGTCTTCTACTCCCTTTTGGTAACAGTAAGTCCATCTGGCCTTGTCACCCAGGAGACCCTGGACAGGTGGAGGTTCACTGTGATTGGGCCCATCCTGATATAGCTCCTGTGATGMAGAGATGGTTTTGTTCTCAAGTCCTAGCAAATAGCCTACCTTCCCATCTTTCCACATGTCTGTACAGATACAGCAAAAACATGTATCCCCAGGCAACAATTAGATTAATGGATTTGGGATCATTAAGAAGGACACAGTGATATTTATTCCCAAGGGATATCTGTGAGATGCCTCCTTAGCCCCTCAGATAAGCTATCCAGGTCTGGGTCTAGAGGGTCTCAGCATCCACTTTTGATACTTCGGTTGAGACGTGAGGCACAAGGTCCTCATTGACTAAGGAGCCACAGGTGAACCTTCCTGACACTTCTCAGAACAGTCCTCGGGCATGAAGAGTTCGCCTCACAGCTTCATTTGGCATGAACCCCTTGAATCCCTTGAGTGTACTTAGGGGAACATGCTCCATGGGAGGAAAGGAAAGTTGTGCTTTCGTTCCACTTAGTACCATTGGTTGGGTTGTTTGACCGCAAGAAGCCTAAGAAACATTCTTGAAGGTCTTTTTCTAGCCACCCCACTTTGTTCAACAAGGAAACGTAGGTCAACATTGCAGTTACTATGGGGCAAAATTCTTTTCTTTTTTCTGGCCCACCAAGCTCTGAGTACATGCCCAGCCTGGGCTGCTGGATGAGCTGCTCTGGGAGGCAGCACCCTTGTTCACAGCACAGACCAAACTGTATTTCGAGTAGCTGTTCTGGGAGAAGTGAGAACCTAGCATCTTGGTTGCACACTGACCTTCCATGGCCCACAGCTGGAAACCCCTGGCAAATTCAAGTTGGGTACTAAGAGTAGAGGCCAGTCCTATTATCTCCTAGTGGGAAAACGAGTGTGATTATCATTCAGTGCTATCATTTTATATTTGCAACTGCACCTGTTCGACTTTCACACAAGAGAAAATGTAGCTTACCAGCTAGGTCCCATTAATCTTTAGAGTGCACCCCTTGGCCATATCAGAGTCAATTTAGGATTCAAATCCTTGGAAAAGGATGTATTAGAAGCTTCTGTCCCCCTGGTGAACATATATTGAAATTCTTAATTTGGCTCAAGCACCTGTATTAGGTATGATTGCTTTGGGCTGCAAACAACAGGACACCCTACAGTAACTTAACCAGGAGAGGTTTATTTTTCTTCTATAATAAGAAATCTTGAGGGAAACGCCTGTAGAATTTGGTCAGCGGCTCTGTGTCAGTGTCTCTTGCTTTGCTACATCAGGGTTGCAAAGTGATCAAACCAGCTCTGTGCCTCTTGTTCAGGTTTAACACAGGAAGAAAGGGAAGGTAGAACCACTTGTGTCTCTCCCTCTTGCCGGAAAAGCAAAGGCTTTCCAGAATCATTCCCACCTGCCCCAAGCAGTGGGTGATGATTCTCCTCACCTCTTAAGGGAAAGAACTGCGTCATATAAGAACGTCTAGTTGCAGGAAATTCCGAACAATTTAGGAAGGGACTGTTATAATGGAATCAGCCTAATTATGATCCATAGCCTTCCTGAAGAAAACCAAGATTCCTTTTGCAATAAATAAAGGAGGAATATATATATATATATATATATGATAGAAAATGAATGAATCTGCTTAAGCATCCTGTTGCTCTTTTGGTGGCATCGTGAGTCACTTGTGTGAAAGCCTGCAGTTGTCCTTTATCTTGCAATAGGCTAGAATCTACCCTACCACCAAGTTTTAGGCTCCCATGTACCATAGTAAACTTCTACTCCATTTCAAAAATTGAATATATTATAAATGAATAGGAGCAGAGATTTGATCCCTTGATTCCCTAAATACACATATTCACTCAAATTACCCTTGCAATTTGAAGCACAGTATTTGGTAGATTGTCAAATCAAACAGGTAACAGACCCGCTGTTTGGTTATTACAGGAGTTAGCATCTGGGCTGTCTTTGTAATTGCACATCCTATCATTGCTACAGATATCAAACAATAAAATCTTTCCCTTTCCCACACTCTACTATGCAAACAAGGAGCAGGAGGATGGGAAGGGGGAAGAATATTTATCTTAGTTTTAGGGAGTCTCTAAGCTAAATTATAAGTGGCTAGTCCTACCTCTGATACCCAGCCAATGCTGTCTGGCTCTTATTTTTAACCTCTCATTTTGGGGGTGGCTTTGGGGTACCCTAATCCAGACTCTTTGAGATGGGATTTCTTATTTTTAATTGCTGACTTACACTGGTATCTTTATAAAATAGCTCTCGATCTTTGACTCATCTTTAAAATTTGTGAGAAACTTTTTCTCTTTTTGTTTAAGAGTGTAAGAAGGGGCTGGGGATTTGGCTCAAGCGGTAGCGCGCCCGTCTGGCATGCGTGCGGCCCGGGTTCGATCCTCAGCACCACATACAAACAAAGATGTTGTGTCTGCCGAAAACTAAAAAATAAATATTAAAATTCTCTCTCTCTCTCTCTCTCTCTCTCTCTCTCTCTCTCTCTCTCTCTTTAAAAAAAAAAAAAGAGTGTAGGAAAAGCCGGGTGCAGTGGTGCACGCCTGTAATCCTAGCAGCTCAGGGTAATCCTAGCAGCTCAGGAGGCTGAAGTAAGAGGATCACAAGTTCAAAGCCAGCCTCAGCAACAGCAAGGCACTAAGCACCTCAGTGAGACCCTGTCTCTGAATAAAATATGAAATTGGGCTGGGTTTGTGGCTCAGTGGTCAAGTGCCCCTGAAATCAATACCTGGTATCAAAAAGAAAAAAAAAACATATATAGGAAAAAAGGAAAAACAAATCTTTAGACCAGGGCTGGGGTTGTGGCTCAGAGGTAGAGTGTTTGCCTAGCATGTGTGAGGTTCTGGGTTCAATCATCAACATCACATATAAATAAATCTAGTCCATTGACAACTAAAAAATATTTTTAAAAAATCTCTAGGCCAATCCATACACATTAAAAGGTGGATAGGGGATGGCATTTCTGACAAAGTTCTGAGGGACCCTATCAACGAGGTTTGGAGGTTATGCAGCTTCAGAATCTAAGGAGGCACAGTGACAGGAATCCCTAACACACAGAGCCCGGTGTTCCCCTTTGATCTGGCTTGATGCTCAGAGGAGCCAGGTAGGAGCTGGTGGTGGCAATGTGCACCTGGGTTAGCTGGGTCTGTACTGTGTGGGCAGATAGAGCCCCAGGAGATCAGGCAGCAGGCAGAGATTGAAGAAGCACTTTCCCCATTCATGCTGGGTGCTGGAGAGTCCAGGGAGCCATTCACCAGGTACCGAGGCCTCGTATCCAGAGCTGAATAGAGGCAACAGGGCAATGAAATCCTGGTTACCAGAGAAGATACACAGGCGTCGTGGCATGCCATGGAGAGAGACTTCACAGCTCTGATGGTAGGAAGGGCAGCCTTACAGGGAGAGTCAGCATGGAACCCAGAAAAAGAACCCTCTGGGAATAGCCAGGAACCAAATACTGTGTGTGTGTGTGTGTGTGTGTGTGTGTGTGTGTGTGTGTGTAAAGAGATTTACCACAAGGAATTGGCTCACACCATTACAGAAGCTGACAAGTCCTAAGATGTGTAGTGGGCAAGCTGAAGACCCAGGAGAGCTGGTTGTGCAGTTCTCGACCAAAGACCTGCAACCTTAGAACCAGTCTAAAGGCTAGAACAACATGGATGTCCCAGCTTACAGGCTTCAGGCAGGAGGAGTTCTCTCTTACTCAGCTTTTTTTTTTTTTTTTTCGGTCCTAATAAGACCTTCAACTGATTGAATGAGGCCCAAACCGCATCAGAGAGGGCAATCCACCTAACTCAGTCTACCCATTTGAATGTTATTCTCATGCACAAGCACTCTCACAGGCACACCCAGAATAATGTATGGCCAATATCTGTGTGCCTTATGGTATCATCAAGTTAACACATAAAATTAACCATCTCAGCCAGTGTGTTTTATCCTGAGAGGAATCCAAGAGTCCAGGAAGATACACCCCAGGCAAATAACTCATGGATATAGTCACATAGTGTGGACTCTACAAGGGGTCACTTCCCCAGCAAACCCTTAAGACGTAAGATCCTTCCCTCACCAGGAAAGTTCCCATGGCCAGAAAAAGTATAATCCCTGGCTTCCATGTCCTGGAGGGAGTAGAGATCCCTGAGCCATTAGTGGCCCTGGCCAGGACAGCCTCTGTTCCCATAGGCGGCTGTGGGCAAGGAAGGGCCAAACCTGCACCTCTTGAAGGTGTATGGGGTGGCTGGCCAGTGCCTCGTGGAAGTGGGAGACTGGTAAGGCCAGGCTTGTCCCTGTCCTATCCATTCCAGGTCCACTGAATAATTCAGAGGCCTTTATGGCATGGTGATTTGGTTTTCTGGTTCCAAAAAACACCCAAGAAAGAATGGAAATCTCTGGCCCTTGGATGGACCTCACGGCTGAAATAAGGATCCTCAAATTCCACAAGATTTAAGAGTTGTTTTTCTCCAGGACAGTAATTAGGAGCTGGTGATAGCAATATGTACATCCAGATGTTTGAAGGTTCATTTTGAAAGAAAAGAGTCCAGTCTCTTCTAGAGCTCTTCTCTTCTAGAGACCTGGCAACTAATGAGGAGGCTGCAGTGGTCAGAGGCCAGTCAGAGTGAATGAGACCTCAAGTCCAGAAGGACAGTGCTCTCCTCCTATGCACTGACTTTAGAGTCTGTCCTGCTTCCTGGACTCCCCACTCAAGGAAGTCCCAGGGTAGAAGACACACAGGTATGTAAATAATAGTAAATAAACTAACAAAGTATTACATCTCCTTGATAAAACTCAACTTCAGGGGGAAACCCTGTGACACCAGGGTTAATGCTCATAATTCAAAAGGACACTGAGATCCTGGAGCTTAGAAGAGAGCCAAGTGGAGAGGGACACCTGACCAGTGCAATGTTCTTGCAGTAATGGACGAAGCCAACTTGTAGCAAGCCTGCAAGGGTGGACCCCCCCCCCAAAAAAAATACCCACAGCTGATTTTTACTCCCTTCCACGGATTCTGGTGGTGGTTATTGTTCCTTGATTGCCCGCCATTGGCCAAACCCAGTGAAGCCAGAGAACATTTTGACTTTGTCAGACTTCTGAGGAAGAAGAACAGAGAAAGGTGGAAAATGAATATGGACTGGTTCCCAAAGAGCCAGCAAAATATCAATAATTTTCAAAGGCAGTAGGAATGCGAGGAGCTCCTTTCAATTACTTGTTCCCCCTGTTTTGATCACAGAACAAAACATCTACTCACTCAAAACAGGAAATCTAGACCACACATTACTGAATCCAATGTCAAGTTGCATTCCCAGGAAGAGCAATAGGGTTATGTGGTTAGCATGCCAACAAGATCAACTTTGAAAAAATATTGCCTTTTACTAATTTATAACTTTAATGTTCTTTCATCCTTATCACAGAGCAAAGGCAAAACATTTCTGTTGTAGAACAATTTAAACTATAGATAAGCCAAAAGGAGAAAATAAAACTGTCTTGTAATTCCGTGTTAGCAATAACCACTGCTAATATTATGGGATGTTTTTCAAGTGTCTTAATCTTACCTTACATKTGTATTGATATATTTTCCAACTTTTATTTTGACATAATTTTAGACTAACAGAGAAATTGCAATAATGATACACAAAATTCCAATGCTCCTTTCAAAATCACTCTCCAAGTGTAAAGAATTTACCACATTTGCCTTACTTACCTCTCTTTACGTTTATGTGTCTCTTTACACAGACACACATAAATATAATTTGTATGTACATATATGTGTATCTTTTTTCCTAAATCATTTTAGAGTAATCAACTTTAAAATTTTAACAAAAGCAAGTTGGGCCAATAATCTCTAAACCATCACTATCTTCAATTTTAATAGGCATTGCCCAAAATTAACAATAAGAGAACAAGAGGGATACAGAACTCTTATCAAGAAATTTMCCTCATATCAGAACATACTTAGCTAGAAAGTGAGCACCCACAAATTTTGTAAATACCTGGAGTGTGATCGCCATCCTGAGACACACTGGGAAGGGTCCTGTTTGAAAAATGCCCAGTCATGTTCCTATTTGGGGGTGAAACTTTTTAAACCGGGGTAGCCTAAGAGATCCTAGGTAGCCCTTCAAGGGCTCAGAGAGGAACTTCAAGGTTACCTGTGAGGGGCTTTCTGGAGGTAGATCATAAGCAACAGGACAAGGATCTTCCACTTCAGGGACATTGTTTCCTGGCATCCCATCTAATTTAGAATGTAGTCGATCATTTTGGAGACATCAGTTCCAGGTGTCCACTTACAAATGCTCCTCCGTATAGAAGACAGAGGGAACAGGTTTGAAATTAGTCATTTTGGCCAGAGCGTAAACAATCTCCCCCGCAGTGGAATCACTAGGGAAAGGATAGAAATTAAGGCCTTCTGTTAGCTGTCAGGTGCTGATTTGGGACTGGGTTAAATAATTTTTTCCAGGCATAGAACATCACCTTGAGTCTTGGCATAAAATAGAGCCAGATGCTAAAGTGCCTTGCTGGTTTGTCATCCCCAGAGACGTGCAGCCAGGATGGTCAGGTTGTCCACACTTCTGAAAGCTGAACAGGACAGACTTAGCAACAGAGTCAAAGCACTACAGATTGACATTAAGCTGCAGGTCAGTGGACAGTGAGCCAAGAGACTCCAACTCAGGCCTCTCAAGGACAGGGCAGGACTATCTGATTCCAGACTTAGCCACTCAGCCCTGGTTGGATTGTTTGTTTATTTATTTATTTATTTAGCAGTCCTGGGTATTGAACCCAAGGACACTCTTCCACTGAAGTCCTCCCCAATCCTTTTTTATCATTTTGTTTTGAGGCAGGGTCTCACTAAATTACCCAGGGTGGATTCAAATTTGCAATTCCCTTACCTCAACCTCCCAAGTTACTAGGATTACAGGCCTGTACCACTGCACCTGGCTTGGCCCTCTTTTTAAAGAGAAATTCTGTTTTCTTCCTTACAGACTGAGATTTTTTTATAACTTAGGAGTCAGTCTCTCTCTCCTTCCCCTCTCTCTCTCTCTCTCTCTCTCTCTCTTTCTTTCTTTTTTCTTTTTGTGGTGCTGGGGTTGAACCTAGGGCTTTGTGCATGCAAATCTACCAACCCAGCTGTATCTCCAGCCCAGGAGACTCTTTCTTAACCAACAAGAGAAAAACTCATTTTAACATAATAATTCCTAACAAAGTGATTTTCATGTATTTTATTTGTTTATTTAATTTGAAGAAAACTATCCATGTCCTGTGAGAGAGGCTACTAGGTGGCACTCCAGGTGAATGGAAGGACCACCAAGGGACCTGCCCCTATACCTTGAGATCAGATAGAAAATGTAAAGGGGAGATAATATGGTTGGGCTTTTAAAAAGAGAGAGAGAGAGAGAGAAGCAGCCAGAATTACTCCCTCACCAAGTCCCTGGCTTCTAGGAGAAACAGCATGTGGAGGTCTCCTAAAGCCTGTGGGCCCAAGTTAGTTGCAAAGGGTGAATGGGATCTGGGGCTACATCTTGCTGAAGTTGCTACCGTGAGGCACAGATGTGCACACACGAGGAAGGGGACGTGTGGACCCCAGATGGAAGGTAGCCACAGGGAGAATGGCTGGGGGCGGGGGGGTCTGCTGTGCAGCCTGTTGGAACCAGCACCTTGTCCACACCAAATCCATGGACACTGAACCAATAAGAGGACCTGACTCTCTCCACAGGCAATCCCACAAGAAATTCCCTTGCTATCCCTCTTCCCTGCTCCATCCTCCAAGGGGCCCGTGTAGGGGACTACACTGCCTCTCTCCACTCTAAGCTGCCAGAAACTAGGTTTGTTAAGGGGCTTAGGGGGACGCTTTAAAATTATATAAGATCTAAGTTGTAAAATGAACAGCAAGGAGTTATAAGAACTGAAAATGATTGTTACAATAGATGAAAGTTATTGGAAAATGCTGAATTGATAGGAAGGGGAATTTCAAAAGAAAACAGATAATAGTAGTCACTGGGGGAAAATTTTTCACTTTATACCAATAGTTGAGAATCTTCTCTGAGACAATGACATTACATGTGCAGACATTTATCTCCGCTCCCTGCTAAGAAAGTTGGACTCCATCCACGCCCTGCCCTCGGTTCTTGCCCTTTTAGCATGGGAGCAACTATATATATAAAGATATTGTATTACTGAATGAACACTAAAGCCAAGGATGATGCAAATGGGAGACGATGCAGGGAAGGCAAGGGAAACACGCTCCGGGCCCGAGTGTGTCTTCCATGTGGGAAAGAGCACAATCCCATTTATGGTTGAAGGGATTCAGTGTGACTTATCTGCCACCACTTGTCTGACTGGGAGGGCTGAGCACTGGTTGCTGCTCATGGGTTGTTAACATGAAAAGGAAAACAGATCCATGTTAATAAGACTCTTCATAAAACTCCATCTGCCATTAATACACTGTGTTCATGAGCCCATGAAACAAGTTCTCAATGCTGGGAAAGAGGCCGGCTGACATCTACAGAGCAGGTCATTTTATCTACCTGATACTTCAGCCTGCTCTGCAAAAAGAGTCTTTGACGGACAGTCACGTGAAACAAATATTCTTACATTTGGGGATTGTTCGGAGCAGTGCATTCAGGGGTTCGCTATCACTCAGAGTCTAAGCAGAAACAATGGTACACATAAATTAAGATATTTCAAGGAGGCAGAGAGACTTATTTATAAAAGGCCACATATAGAGAAACCACAAAGGACAGTATAGTACCCTAGTTTTTTTTTTTTACCATGCCAGACTCCAAAATCAGAGGGAAAGAGAAATTTCCAGGACCCAGAAGGAGAAATTCAAGCGGAGAGCCACCTATCCCATTCAGTTGAGGTGCCCAATAGGGAGAAGTCAGAAGAGGAATAATCTCCTTATTCCACTTATTTCCTGTTGGGGTTCCTATTTCCCAAACCCAACCAAAAGCCATTGGACAAAGAGTGTGGACCAAACAGGTTAGTGTCCCAGGCAGAGAGCAAATGGGCAGACATGGAAATAAGTAGAGTGGATTGAGCGAGGCACACAGGAGGTAGTCAACACGTAATTCTTCAAACAGCACTTCTCAAATCACCTACTATGTGCAAAACACTATTCTGAATGCTGAGGACAGAGCAACCAAAAAACAGACAAAGCGCTTAACTTCATAGAACTGTAAAGCAAATAAGAGACCTGCCTAAAACATGTAGTCTATTGAATATCCACAGGTAATAATGAAATAATACAACAGGAAATATTGCATGGGAAGGAACTAGC